GCTAATCTTTTTTTTCGTAAAATAGATATTCTCATGGAAAGTTATTTGAGATAAATAGTCATAGCTTGTTTTTTTAAAGCTTCAATTGATGCGAATTGAGTTTAGTGACTTGAACCGGGCATAAAAATTTCCAACCGATTAACCGAACCGGACCAAATCGGTTTACAGCTAGTGTTGGGCCCGGATGATTATATAGACTTTTTAATTTACCGTAATAAGATATATTATCCGGATGGCCTTTTTGAGCACGGAACGGATATTCGGATGTAAATAGTGTTGGAATCCGGATGTCAATCCGGATAGTCATCCGCGCTCAAAAACAGCTATCCGGATACGGATAGGACATCCGTATCCAGATTTTCATTATGTACAATTACAATAGAATTGAAATTATTCGGTTGATCCAGAAGATCAGATTTTTAAAATCGATGTTCGTGTAACATCAGATATATTTTAAATTCTTCAGTATTTATCCTATATTCCCTATATTCATAATCTCTCGACTCGACTAAGTCGATATTTTAAAAGATCGGCCTTACAGACTAACGCCAAATCGATTACGATCACTACAGATAACATTTATTAATCATGTACTGTAAATAACAAGAATATAATTTATTCACATTTTGTAAAACATAAAGACGCGTTAGTCCCTCCAAATCCAAATGAATTGGTCAATGCCGCTCTAATACCAGGATGTTGCTGCGCATCTAATGGGACATAATTAAAAGATAAAAAATCTGATGCTGGATCACCAGGATTGTAGAGATTTAAAGTTGGCGGAAGAATATTCTATCAATTAAATAAAAATTAGAAATCTTTTGATGAAAAAAAAAAAGCTCTGAATAATTAATAACTTACATGATATAATGCCAAAATAGTAAATATGGCTTCAACAGCGCCAGCAGCTCCTAATAAGTGACCTATGGAACCTTTGCTCGATGATATTGCTAATTTGTGAGATGTACTTGATGATTCAAAAATGGACTTGATTGCTCGATTTTCAGCAATATCTCCTAAAAAAAAAAATTATCTTATTATTAGTCTTTATGTTGACTTTTAAAATATAACACGCGAGAAATTAATTACCTAATAAGGTTGACGTAGCATGTGCATTAATATAATCAATATCTTTTGGAGACAATTTAGCATTGTTTAATGCTCTTCGCATAGCTAATTCTGCCCCAACCCCATTTTCCAATGGAGCTGTCATATGATATGCATCGCCTATTGTGATAAATTAATGCATGAGTAATGTCACAACGAATGAAATAACCACATTCATCTTGTTCATGTTATTCATTTTACCTGATAATCCATAACCTCGAATTTCGGCATACATGCGTGCACCTCTATTTTTCGCATGATTATATTCCTATGTTAAAAAAAAAAAAAAAAAAGGTTAGAAATAAATTAATTAGATAAATGCATAAAAGTAACAGTTGACTAACCCTAACCTCAAGTACAACGACTCCAGCACCTTCACTGATGACAAATCCATCTCGATCTCGATCAAATGGTCTTGAAGCTTCTTCCGGCCTATCATTATACTTGGTGGCTAATGATTTTGCTCTGCTCCGCAGTAAATAAAAAATATTATTATTCACCCCCAAAAAAAGTATATATTTATTAAATAACTCACTTTGCAAATCCTGCAATAGTTAAAGGTAATATACTAGCTTCTGATCCACCGGCAATCATAACATCCGCATCTCCAAATTGAATAAATCTACTTGCGTCACCAATGGCATGTGCCCCAGTTGTACATGCTGTAGATACTGCGTGATTTGGTCCCTTTAAAATATTATAAAGTTATATTAGCATGATTTAATCAGAAATTGAGAAGAAATTGAGATAACTTACACGAAATCCATACTTCATCGTTAAGTGACCTGTCGCCATATTTATTAATATTTTTGGCACAAACATTGGGCTTACCTTCTTCGGTCCCTTTATACACGTATTTCAATTATTGATATCAACTCAAAATAATAATAATAATAATAATAATAATTGATGAATCGACTTACATAATTTTCAAATATCATAGCATTTGAGATAACATCTTCAAGACTACCGATTCCTGATCCTATGCACACCCCCTATTTATAGATCACCTTTTATATTTATATAACCAAATTTTTTGCAAATAATTTTCTTTATAACCACATACAGTTCGCTCTTTTTCAAAATCTGATGTTGGTACCCATTCAGCATCATTCAAAGCTTGTTTAGCTGCGCAAATTGCATATTGAGTAAATAAAGCCATTTTTCTTTCATCCTAAAATTATTTTAGAGAAACTATCAATATCTTTGATTTAAAAAAAATCACTAATCTAACTTCATTTTAATTTACCCCAGGATCTAACCATTCCTTTGGATCAAATCCTCCTTCATCATATTTTCCTGGCTTTACCTTTCCAGCAACAGTTGATGATAACTCATTAAATTTTCCCACCTCTTTTTCTTCAAGAGTATTTTGATTAACACCAGGTTTACTAGTAATATTACTTGATTTTAAAGATATTATACCACATTCGCTATTGATTAATTTTTTCCATGATGATTTTACACCAGTTGATAAAGGTGTAACTAAGCCTAAACCTGTTATTACCACCCTACGGGAAGACATTTCTTCTGATATGTAAAAAGATCGGTTTCGTCTTGATCTTCTTGATTATGCGGTGATGTGACACAATAGGAATTTTTTTAAAGTGTCACATGAACGCGGATGTGAAGATTACTTAACCATATAACGATAACTGTATAAACGATGTCGATTCGGAATGTAATAAAAAAAATTCCTTGTAAAATTTTGGTACGTATAACTATACTTTGCTCAATCCTAGCACTATTCGTGACTTATATTACGCTCTTTTTTTAAAAAAAAATATATACCATGTTTACTGGACAATATGTTCAGTCTAACTGGATTGTTTGGTCCATTCATCTATACGTATCTGATATATTTTATTATACGTATATAGTTTTATTTAGCTTAATTCAGTCCAATAATAAATACTCTGCCGAAATTTGATTGGACGATACCAACAGACATTTGCATAGTTTATTTCAGTATTTAAATTTTGTAATATTGGCAATAGGGTTAATAAATTTAAAGCTTCAAATGGAGCCTTCCACAGCAAAAGAAGACAGTAAGATATTTTTAGCCCTTTAAAATATAAAAATATCTGCTTGTTTATATTACAAACAAACAGGTATTTTTATATTTTGGAGTTAAATAAATCCAGATAATGATAGTAGTTTAAGGGTACTATACTGTATACTCAGACCACTAATGCCATAGTATAAATTCATAAAATATAGAAGATACTACACTAGAAGATTAGCAGAATTTTTACACAAAATTAAAAGCTACTCATTTGAGACTTTTAAATTTCTTAAGCTAAGGACATGCAAAGTTAATTAATTGGTTCTCGTAACCCGGCCAGGTCAAATTTTGAAATTTTTGTAAAAATTTTATATGTTTTACAGCTGTTCTCATAAATTCTGGAACAATTGAAAAAAATGCCGATCGCCGAATCGATAAATTTCTGAGTTCGGCCGAATTGGTCACTAATTTATTCCGACTCGGTAACTTATCGATCCGGTATCAGAAATTTTTTCTGTTGTCCCAGAATTTATGAGAACAGCTGTAATAACCGGTTGAGTTTTTACAACTATTTTCATAATTTCTGGAACACCTGCTCATTACCCGAAATCTTTTTGGTCGTTCGGCAAATTACCTAACTCTCCG